CACCCGGTGTGTGACACCGCAGCCTCCTGCCACCAGGACCCGGCACAGCCCCTCCGCCCACCGCCACCCACCTCAGCTCCGCCAGCGCAAGCGCAGCGGGAGGAGGACCATCTTCTAGGGAAAGCAAGCCAGCATCCGCCGAAACCCGCACAAGATTGTGTCTTAGGACAAGAAGTATCTGGATGAGTCCCTGCTCACGTCAGTGAGCGAAGGCCCCTTTTTTTTCCTTTTCTCGTTTACGAAGCTCATTAGCAGCGAGACGGGTGAGAGGGTCATGGAAATAAAATCCAAGTCTCATTACTGACACGGATCCCCCAGATGAGAGGACATCAGCTCTCCATCGGAGCTGCCTGCCAGGGTTTTTTTTCTCAGCTCCAGTCTTCCGTTATTAAGTTTAAAAAAAAGAATATTTAATAAAGTGTTTCTGTAGAGAGTAAACTGCCCTTTTTATTATTCTGTTCTGTTTTCTCAACAATAGCAGCCTTTTTGTCAGAGACAAAAGCCCAGACTTCTCCCGCGCCGAGGTGTGGGAGGTGATGCTCTGGGTGCAGACAAGCCCAGCTCCTCCCCAGCTCTCCAAATCCACACAGGGAAGCTGCCACCGAACCCCTGCTCCCGGTGCCGCTCTGGGTACCACACACCCACGTCTGGATGCGTCCGGAGGCGAGACCCAGGCCCCAGCCCCGTGACCCTGCCCAGTGCGGCTCCTCCAAGCTGCAACCCCAGCACCCCCAGGCTGTGGCTGCAGAAAGGGCTGGTGGCTCAGTGCTGCAGAGGCACCGAGCGCAGCCTCCAAAGGGCCTGATGACCCCACTTTGTTCAGAGAAATCCTCACTCCTCACCGAGGGACCTCTTCAGCGTGAGACAAAAATATCAGTCTGAGGCACTGCTGAGGTCCACGCAAGTACCAGCATGTTAATGAGCTCCAAACTATGCACTGGCATGTATTTTATTTGCTGTTGAAGCTCAGAAATTATACAAATGCAGTAAACTCCTTTGTGTCCATATATATATACATATATTCAGACAACTTTGGCTTACTCAGCCTTCACTTTCTTGGCCTGGAAGGCCCCCGGTGAGCAACGCCGCTCAGCAGC